GACGAACTTTTTTCCACGGGGTCTTAATTCCGCGGAATGTCAATTTCCGTTTAATCCGCCTGTTGAAAATTACGCGGATTTCTTAGACTGTCACTATATCAGTATATGCCTTGCATTTATATTAAATATGCTTGGACAAATTGCCGCGGGAAAAAAATGTGACCGTGTATATAGCGTAAATGAATACCACGCGGAAAAAAGTGCTTCTACAGTAAATTAGACATAAACATGAATTCTTTATGAATTAGTTTTGAAATTACAGATAAATGTTGGAAAACATTTTTTCTTCGGGGGTGGGTAGCACAATTAGGTTTACTGAGAAATATTTAGGACAATGTTGACACATATAATTCACCGATTCTGGTCGCATGATTTGGTTTCACTGCAGACAGGAAGAGAAAGAAAGATCGAATCACTTTGGAGCTAGAAACGAGGCACGCGGCAGATAAGGCAGGGCATCACGCATTGGATCGCCGTGGTAATAGACATGTCAAATATGATGTATATTTTTATATTTTCTAGATACATGTTAGTATATCTGTGCTACCGTGTAGAGTGTGGCATTTTTAGGAAAATCAATATATCACTTTAATGATGAGCCACACTCACGAAATTGAACAGGTTTTCTCAAGGTAATATATTTCTTTCTTTTCTCTAACAAGATATTCTTTGGAATGGATTTTATTTATAATTTCTTAGCATTTAAACACAGCTAGTAACAGTTGCTCAAAAAAATCACTGATAATCATAACACGCGTTGAGCCAAAGGCTCAAGTGAGCTTTACTGTTCAAAATCTGTCCGTTGTCTGTCGTCGTCGTCGTTGTAAAATTTTAACATTTTCATCTTCTCCTCAAGAACTATTTGGCCAATTTCAACCAAACTTGCCACAAAGTATCCTTGGGTGAAGATAATTTAAGTTTGTTCAAATGAAGGGCCAAGCCCTTTTCTAAGGGGAGATAATTATGAGTAAGAGAAAAATTAATGGCATTTTTAAAAAATCTTCTTCTCAAGAACCACTGGGCCAGGAAAGATGAAACTCATGTGGAATCATCCTCAGGTAGTGTAGATTCACGTTTGTTCAAATTATGTCCCCCGGGGGTATGGTGTGGCCAAAATGGCCGATCAAAGTTTTACATAGAAATATATAGGAAAAATCTTAAAGAATCTTCTCAAGAACCACTGGACCAGGAAAAATGAAACTCATGTGGAATCATCCTCAGGTAGTGTAGATTTAAGTTTGTTCAAATCAAGACTCCCGGGGAGTAGGATGGGGCCAAATGGCCGATAAAAGTTTCACATAGGAATATATAGGGAATCCTTTTTAAATCTTCTTTTCAAGTACTTCAAAGCCATGCTCAGTGATATTTATAGGGAATCATTCTCAGGTAGTGTAGATTCTAGTTTGTTCAAATCATGACCCCTGGGGGGTTAAAATTCAAGTGCCCTCCCCCCTCCTCTGTAAACTTTCAGTTGTGATCTGAATTGTGTTTTTTCCTAGCCAATTGTTCAGGTGAGCGATGTGGCCCCTGGGCCTCTTGTTTTTTCCGTTTGAAGATGCTTGATTGGGAGATTGTTACTAGAGATTTTGAAAATATTGTGTAAAATAAAAATATGATTATTGATAAGTAATATTTTTATAGTTATCGTTCCTGGCTTAAGATCGGATATCCTTAAGGGAACAAAACTACTATACTTTGAGCAATAAGAACATGTACAGTGTATTATAACATAAATGCATTGATAATAATTAAGACACTAAGCAAGTTGTTATATTGTAATCATTCTAATTTGTGAATATTTGATTAAATTCTCCTCCCTAGACATGGGACATTTGCTGAAAAACGACGTTCACGGAGTTCCAGAACTAACAACTTTCAGATATGAAGACATAGAAGATATTTTAGAGAGGCGCGATGTTAAAGGATGAAAGGGACAGGGAGTGGTGGCAAATATCCCTTACAAATTACGAACATGATGGTAAGTATTGTCTTTACACAAATCCCACATACAACTACACACACGTATATATTTATTGTATGCCAATTTTATATCTTACTTTTCCAACGGATGTAGAAGAACGTGAGTGGCAAATGAACACTTTATTGGATGGAAAGAAACGTAAGATCCGTTAACGTTTAGCATACTAAAAAAATTCCCACTGTATAACTTTTAAAGATTCTTTTTGGATCTTCTTTCGACTTCATATCATGGCAAAATTTTTGAGTAGACTAATAAATTGCATTTTCAGGACAAGTTGAGGGAAACAATGAATTACATACTAATTCAATTTTCGATTTAGAAATGGAGGGCTAAAATGCGGAGGTTCGAAATGTAAGTCAAAACTTACACATCTCAGCAATGAAAATGTATTTAAAAAATCTTTTTCTTAAATACAAGATACACAATAATCAAACTTAAATATATGACAGGTCATCGTTGGAAAATCAACAGATAACCAAAAAAAAAAAACCCCTGTAGGTGGGAGATAACGTTTTTGTGGACCTGCCGAGGTATTCGGTTGAGTGGACTTCCTGCGTACCGTGTGAAACTAGAATATGGAGAATAAGAGCCGATGCATACTGTCAAATAGATTTGTTAATCTTAAAAAATTAGATTACTTTTACTGCTTGGACAATTTAGGAAAAATAATAAGAAATTTTATTTGATACAAATATCAAATTATTTGATACAAACGTAGAACGTTTCAGTGACTGTATGACACAGTATAAACATACATGTACTACTCAAGGAGGGAAAGTGACTCTGCACTGGCAGAGGGGTCAAGGACGTCGACTTGGACATCCTGTTCCAGGAAAGTACCAGGCCAAAGGGGCAGAAGAGAACCCTGGACAGACATATTCTCCGCTGCAGAAGTATGATCAGAAGGCTTTACTCGAGCTCCGTCAGGGCACCTCCCAAAACGATGGAAATATTGGAAAATAATGACCATTACTAGAAAAGGAAATCTTTACACGTATTTAGAGAAGTTCTTTATTATTTAATTACCCCGTATCTTTGTTACAATTTCAATGCCTTATATTATATGTATAAAGGAGTGTAATATCGGAGGCGGTAAAAGACCGCTTAGTATCTCTGGCATTTTTATACTATTGGAAATTCGGGGCGTATATTGTTTTTGTCTTGTCTGTCTGTTTATCCGTTTGTCTGTCTGTTGTCAAATTTAACTTTCGCCATAACTTTTGAACCATGAATGAGACTTCACATTTTGTTTAAATTGTGTACACCACTAATCAAGCTCTTTCAAATGACACCAAGGTTAAGGAACTTTTGACCTTGACTGTGTCATATATGTTAAAATAGCTTTTTGAGCTTTGGCTATAACTTTTGAACCATATGAGATATAAACTTTATATTTAGTATTCATACTTAAATACATACGCTCTTTCAGAATGACACCAAGATCAATTACTTTATGACCTTGACTGACCTGTACGCTAAAAATAGCTTTTCTAAACGTTGGCCATATAAGCCATAGGAGATAGAGACTTAATACATGTATTTAGTATGCATACTCCACTAATCAGGTTCTTTCAATGATCAAGATCAATAACCTTGTGACCTTGACTGTGACCCATATGCTAAAAATAGTTTTTCATACTTTGTTACCGCCGGGCGCCTAGTGTTTTACAAACACATCTTGTAACAATTTTAATGTCATACATGTATACCAGTCTGAGAGGAGTGTTATATCAGGGACGGTAACAGACCTCTCCGTATCTCTATCATTTTTGTTACAATTTCAATGTCATATACATGTTCTCGATACTGGAGGATTTACGATTTTAATTTTAAATTCAAATACTTGCATGTGTTCTCTCATATGACTATGGCCATTCTCCGCATGAATTGAATTAGGTTTGTTATTGGTATCTGTAAAACCAAGATTTGTTCTTTTCTTTTATACAAAAAAATATATATATTGCAACCATGGTATTTTACCAATAAATCATCGGATGCAGAGAACTGAAACTTAAGTTTTGCATATTTATATATTTTGCATTTAATTTAGTACAATCACCAACTTTCACTTTTGAAAATTCAAAACAAAATTATCACTAGACTTCGATGCATATCAATTAGGTCTAAAGTATATTCGGAGTAGCGATTGATTAAAAACGTGTGATAGCCAGTGGTGTTGAAATGGCTTCTGAGATATATAATACAAAATATACAAAAAAGCGAACACTTAGAACTTCTCAAGGATTACACGAGTTGTTTTTTTTATTTTGGAGAGAGGGGTATCTTGGAGATGAAATTTACTCCCTCCCTAAATTCAAATCCTCCCTACTGTCTTTTCTTGGTATACTTTATTTTATCAAATAAAATATACAATATGACTACGATACTACCCTCATTTTGGGTAGTTTTCACGTGGAAAATGAAAAATTTAAACAAAATACTTGTACATGAAAACGAAAAAAGGGTATATTACATTGTTATGAGAAACTAATTCTTCCGTATTTTTTAAAAGATAAGTCACTATGCCTTATCGATTTTTTAAACATCGAACTCTCTCTCTTTCTCTCTCTCTCTCTGATATTGTATTCAGTTTACAATGATTTATACGTGTAATTTGATATAATTTCAAATAGTCGTAAAAGTTCTAATGGGTTATGATAAAATTAAAATATTATATTCTTAATTATGGAAGGGCACTTCAATAAATAGTGAATTTAATATTATTGGTATCTTTTTATCAAACATTGCCTCAATAATGAACTTTTCTTGTAGACCGAGTATGACCTTTCCCCTCTAAAAAAAGGGAGGGATCCTATATTCGGTATTCTGACAACTGGGAAAAAAATCAAGATAAATATAATATAATGTGTACAAATTAACTTTAGTCTAAAAATCAAGTTTATGTAACGTTTGAAATAATTTTGTTTATAAAATTATCCATGACACATTCCCTGTATCCCATGCATCATCACTCAGTTATACAAAAAATACTGAAATAATAAAAATATCCTGTCTTATTCCTATTCATTTCTTTAGATATATTTTCTTTTTACAAAAGTATACACAGATATACATGTACTATAAATCACATTTCTTCATAGTTTGGTTGATTTGGAAACTTCATAATCTGTTTTTTGTGGGTCTTTCGATCTGTAAAAAATATTTGTACAAGTATGATTTCAAAATACAAGCGCCATCAGTAAAGACATTCACATACATTTTTTTTTTTAAAAGACAGACAAAAATATTTTTATTGTTCATTCTTACTTGATCTGAAAATTAAAGATCAATAAACCTCAGATTTTCTCCGATAATAAAACAGCTTCTTGCCAAGTTAAGTGTTTCTATCACTTTTTGATTTATTTCTTGGCTTTAAACACTCACAAACAGCCAATATAGCCAAACAATTAGTCAACATTGCGAAAATTCCTAACTGTTACGACTCAGATTATTTTGAAAATTTGAGATACAGAGACGTTATCAAGGGCGGATATTAACATTTTCCTAATATATAATCCCTTAATTACAGTCATTTCCACTGGAAAAATACTGGCAAAATGTAGATGTTACTCTTTTGAGTGGATGATAAGGTGATTTGTTTGTGGACTATATATACATGTATCTGAATCTAGGCTCTGGTTCAGTGTACACGTGTTTAATATCCTATAGGGAATTTACATTTAAATTGTACATGTAACTGTAATTGATCTTATTTCTTTAGAGAAGAAAATTAATCTCCTTGAGACTCTTCTGTAAAACTAAAACCTGCATATAATAATCAAGCTAGGTTCGATTATATGTACTTGCTTTGATAGGTAATAAATGTATTTAACCTCTGTTGAAGTACTGAACAATGACGATTCCTGTTTCAAATCCCAGCTCAATTTTCTTGTTAATAAAATTACTTTTATTTACCTGCCAAACTTGACACCGTCCTCTATGGTTTCTGGTAAGGTTTTGTTCAGAGTTTCCGGTAGTAGTAAACAAAGCAGTCCCGCAGTCACTGAGGTAGCACCAAAAATAACCAATGGAAGAGCCTGTCCAAATTTACCCCCAACTAAATCGCCCTGAAAATGCATTTAAAACATGCAACTATGATAAATTTCATTTAATCGGTTTTCGAAGAGTTTGAACTACATTTCACAATATCGATACATGCATTTTAAAAGTATTTACTAATTGAAAAAAATGGAAGAAAATAGATTTTTTTTGTTTATTATGCTCGATCCTCTCTATCCGTTTTCTTATGACTATGCAGTGATCTTACCGATGAAGCGACATAAGGCGCTAGCATGCCGCCGATTCTTGCGATGCAGGAACTCGAACCCATACCCGCATTACGCACTACTGTAGGAAATAGCTCCGCTGAGAAAACATAGACCACACCAAATGCACCGGAGGATCCGATCTTGCCGATGATGGCTAGTGTGAGAGTTATAGGTTGCAGAGCTGAAGGATAATATTATTTTATTTAATTCTTTGCTACTTTTTTCGAAAATTGAAACCCGTCTAATAAACGTAAGTAGTAATATAAAAATTTAGCACTTGAATATAGCGAAACTCACATTCATCTCCGAATAAGACGGAAAATATGGTGGACAGACAAGCAAGTCCACCCACCACCATGAAGGCACAATGAAGCTTCTTCCTGCCAACTTTGTCCAGGAGGAAAACAGAGAGGGCTGAGGCGGGAAACTCCACGACAGCCAATAGAAAGAAGTTCAGATAAAAGTCCCCGCCCATATTCCCGGCATGCATTGTGACTCCGTAATACATCATCGATACTACGGCCCTTCGAAGGCAAAGAAACCAAGATAATTATGTTTTATGAAAATTTAACATTGGGATCGCTTAATCCTGTACATGTTTGAATTTATATCTTAAATGATAAAAATAATATTGATTATTTACGCCAGAAAACATAGTTTTGCAAGTTATAGGAAGATGCATGAGTTAAGGTCATAGAATAGGATGATTCCTGTTGGATCCGCTTCCCATTTATTACTGTCAGCGTGCAAAATTCTGAAGTAACTTTGTTTTGAAGTTTTGAGCACTTACCAATTGAAATAAAGAATGAGTGTTCGAATCAATAAGACCCTGTGACTGAACAAATGCCAGATCCGCGCCTCTGTTGATTTTGGTTCCTCCTTTGTGACCTTGAGAAGTTTTTCATCGATGTTGACCTTGTTGACCTTGGCCACTTTACGTATGATGGCGTCAGCGTCTGAGTGTCTCCCCTGACTAATCAACCATCGGGGTGACTCTGGGACAAACCTAGTGAAGTTCAAGGTTAGACGTTAGAAAAAAAATCACAGGAATTTAGGTAGAACTGTTACAGTAGGGCATCTCGTTCATATGTTGATTTATATTCTGTTTTTTTTTTTTTATACATGTATTTAGCTAGAGAGAATACAAATAATTTGGTGATTTTAAAATTATGAATAACAATGTATGTACATTTAAAAGCAAAACAGTATTTTTTCTATAAATGAATAAAAAACATCATAGATGTATAAAAATGATAACCGTGAATGAACGAAAACGTTTTATATTTAAGTATCTAAACATTTTTTTTTTCGCAAGTATCCATTTAATTTAAGAAGAACTCAAACATGCACTTATTCATACTTTAAAACTCTTAAGTTGGAAAAAAAAAATCAAGGGCATTTTAAAAGAATTAATGAATTCAGGAATACTATGTGGTTTACTTTTCAGTAGCCTTCTTTTGATCTACGTATATTTTACTTTACCACCAGTAAGTCAGGTATAGAGCACAGGGCGCGGCGACTGCTATACTGATGTACTGCCAGTCCCTCAGAAGGTACCCCACGCCGGCTAAATATAGCAGACCAATAGTAAAGAAGACGTGAATCACGATCCCCGCCCACACACGCTTAGATGGGCCAACCATCTCCAGACCTGTGAAACATGACGGTAACATTACATCTAAATTTCTAAAGAAGGTCAGGAAAGGTAAGGTATTTGTGAAAGCATCTAATTGATTATTGAACAAGCAAAATTAAACTTTATATTTAATACTTGATCTATTAACAAAACATTGAAAACGGCCACAATAACGAGTTAACAGTTCTCACAACATACCATATGTTTGTTTAAAATTCCACAAAAGATGCCTATCATGTAGAATGAAGGATGCCTGGTTTTAAATGTAAATCTTATTTTTTTATGTATGTATGTAAAAATCTTCATACGACTAACACATGACTGCAACTCCCTTGAATATCTAGGACTAACTTTTAAACGAATTGACTTATTATGAAAGGAATTTTAATATAATGTTTTCTGAATCAAATACTTCCTTACCCAATACACAACAGATCATGAAGGCCCCGTGGTTGGCGGCCCCGATGATGAATTCCAGGACGACAAAACTGATGTACTCCGGGGCCCAACATACACCAAAGGCCGCAGCCACCAGAATAACGAAAGTCAAGTACAGACCCTTCTTACGACCGATACTTTAGGTGAGAAAATAAAAGAAATATGCAATAAAATGACAAATTATAACAGTTAAGGGTTAGAATATATTGAGATTTTCAATAGAAATAAAAATGGGATTTAAGAAAAAACAAAGAAAGAGGATCATGATAACCCAATAAGTACATCTCGGCCGATTTGAACCTCATCTTAATGAAGTTGACGGAATCGTTCGAAGTTTTCCGAATGTATGATAAAAATGCAGAGATCAGCACGTGACTTACATATCAGAGAGAACTCCGAACCCGAGATCACCGACCAACACTCCGAAGTAGAAAATCATCTTAGCATGAGATGTAAGTAAAGCGTCATCACACACTAGGTCCATCTAAAAATGGAACATATTTCATATTTTTATCCGTTCGAAGTCGGATAAATAATACAATTATCAATGCAATACTTCAATTTTTTTTATCAAGAAGACAAAAAATAATGATCAGTTTTCAGTAGTTAAATGTAATTAATACGCAAGTTTCGAGATTATCTCCCTTGGTGCGCTCTTTTTTTGAGGAGGGGAGTTTTGTTGCCGCGTAAACAAAAAGGTGGGACAGATATTTGATACTGTGTATGTTGGATATTTTGCATCATCGATATACCGGTTTATCATAACTACACGATTGTCAGGATGCACTCTACAACTTGAGAATAACTTAATTAAAGTAAAGGCATCATTTCTGAAGCAAAAAAAAAATCGAAACAAAAAAGAAAATATCAGTGGATTTGAGACTTTTCGGACGCGGGAAGAGATATGGACCTCTAATAAATAGGGTGCACATGCATCTGATTACGTCAGGAATCTTAATGACATATTGATTCTTTTCCTTGTTATGACTTAAAAAACGTTAAGTTTTCAGAAAATGTTCGTACAATCAAGAAAATTGGTTACCTTTTATAAAGACTACGACGTTTCTTTCGTTTTCAAGTACCCGAAAATTAATAGTAGATTTGTTAATATGCATAGTTGAGCTTGATAAATCATCAAATGCATCACTGCTTAACATTTTTATCTTTCTATAACATTTAATAAATTTTAAGAACCATAATATCATTCTTTTATTAATGCAAGTTTGTATGTACAGAGACAACCTGTCCCACCTCCATGCTGGAATGGGTACTTTTTGCGCCTCTATCGTAGGAGAATTACAATCTCACAACTCGCGTATTGTAGTACCCCATATTTTGAATTTTATAACAGTCATGGCAATATTTAAAATGAAAAAGGGTTGAAAGTGTGAATGCAAGAATTAAATGCTGACTGTTTTTCTCATTGATTCCAAAAGCTTTTTTATATGTAGAACTTTAACAATACAATAATTTATCATTTTGAAACTAAAATTGTCGTTATACCTTGGAAGTGAACGTTGACTTAAATACGGAGGTCTCGTAAACCCATTCTGTGCATTTCTCTTTGGTGAAGTTTGCCGAATTTGAATTCCCCGCGTCATTTCTAACATACATATAACATTGACTGTAGTCCAAAGTCTCGTCATCAGATCTCGGAATGGTCAAGTTAATGAGATCTTGGTGAAAGGAACTCTGTATTTCATACGTATCATTGGGATACGACAGAATTTTACACCTGAAACAGGGAAAGAAATAATGTTAATTGTTTTCTCCTAGCAAATCTGGGCGCCCGCATGCCGCAGCTGTTAGAGTGTCTGCTATAGAGTCGCAAAGTAATGAGTCAATCCTTACGCCGTGGGCTCGAATCCTACGGTCGCACGTGGAGACCGATCCTTCGGATGACACCATGAAAACCGAGATCCTGTGTCGCAGTAGGTGCTGCTTAATGGCCCTGAGTACCGAGCATAGGACAAGATTTGGTTTATAAGCGTCTCAATTGTTTTATAACAAATTAAAAGCTTTAGTTCTTTTAAAATTGTAGCATATGTATTTTGAAAATTATCATATATATATATATATATATATATATATATATATATATATATATATATATATATATATATATATATATATATATATATATATACTGTACATGTACGAGGGGCTATCAAAAAGTTCGTGAACTAGCGCCATAAAATTAAAACCGCTTTAGGTACATGAATGAATTTTAAAATATCTAGTTTGCATCATCTTTTTTATCTATAGAATAAACCACAAATAATAAATTTTATATTTTAATAAATTAGTAATGTTTTTGTAAGCAGTGGTATGTCCATGCGGCGCAACCTCGAAAACGACGTTTTTTTCGACCAACATGCAACTAAGAAAAACTATTATGATATGAACATTTGATATCCAAATATCCCGTTAATTCAGGTATGTGTTGGGAGACTATTGTTCCATAAAATATTAAATTGTTACCTCATTCTGGAAGTTCTATGAAATTTTTTCGTAAATTTTACATGGAGTATCCAAACAAATATTGCCTTGAAAATGACGTCAAAAGGGGGAGGGGTTTCCTTTTCCAACATTCTATAACGTTTTGCCCCTAGAAAAACTGGTACATACACCTAGGAAATGTTTAAACTGGCTACGGAGAAATAATGTGCAACCAGATTACTTGTTTTTAATGCCAAAATAGATTCAGAGAGAAAAGGAATGCACAGTTAATGTCGATTTGTAGTTAGGTGTGAAAAATCAATCACGTCAAAAAATGACGTTGATCATGTGTTGTAGATATTGAACTCCAAAAAGCAAAATATGCTGGCACAATCAAGCGAGGATCTCTGCCATTGTATAAATCTATTTGCAATAGTATATGCATTGAAAGCCGCTGTTCATGACATTGTAAAGTCTTATAAACAAAAAGGATTGAAGTCATTACTCAGCTCCAGGGAATCTCATCAAAATAAATGTATGAGGTAGAAAAAACAGACATTGAAAAACAATGACGCTGTCGGACGTCATAAAAATAAACGGCGACGGCGCCGGGTTATGATATAATATCGTTTTTATTTCATAATAATTTGGGAAATAATAAACATATCAAGCTAAAATTTTCAACATTTCTTTATTTTTTGTTGTTTTATGTTCCTTCAAAATAATGTAAGCTCAGATTACATAGTACTAATTTTATAGACTTAGTCCACGAACTTTTTGAAAACCCCTCGTATATATAAATGTATTATTATCGGAAGAATTGTTTTTCGAGTAAATGTTGGACAACACTGTTCAAGTGATTCTAATTAAGACAAGACAATCTGGATGTACCTTTTGTTCTTGTTCATTTCTTGTTTTTATCTCTTAATTTTTTCTTTCCTTCGTTTTTTTTTTTTTTTTTTTTTTGGGGGGGGGGGGGGGTGCGTGTGTTTTAATTGTTGCTGATCTATTTTAGATTAATTTGTTTCGGTCTTTTGTTCCCTACCGATGAATCAGGAGGAGACAATGTCTGTCTGTATTTGTTTAAAACTTGACTAGCTTCGCATATTTTCTAAAAGCTTATTAATAATCTGTAAAATTTACACTTTAATCTGTAAAATTTACACTTTAATCCGAAAATTTACAGATTAAAGTGTAACTGTTACACTTGAAAACTTGAAAGCGTACAATTTACAGATTAAAGTGTACAATTTACAGATAAATTAAGTGTAAATTGTACAGATTTAAATGTAAAACTTACGGATTAATGTGTAAATTTTACAGATTTATGTGTAAAATTTACAGATTAAAGTCACTGTGTAAATTTAACAGATTAAATTGTAAAAGTCACAGATTAAAGTGTAAAATTTTCAGATTGAAGTGTATAGAATATTAAAGAAAAAGATTTGTGTCCAAGTGGCGCTAATATGCTTCCGTATGCAGGTATTGAGATAATTTTGGTTATCCGAGATATTTTAATGAAATTATTGCATCTTTTAGTGGGAACCAAATAACATCAGCCGGTAGAGGATTAGTATTACATGTACTAAGGCCATACACTCACAATGCATGGGTTCTCTGGTTCCCTTTTAATAAGATTTTTTTTGGAAAACGAAATGATGTCTCTGGAGTTGTTTTTTTAATCTGTAGATTATTTGGATCTTTGCGAAAACAATGTCAAAATTGAAATAAAAATATATACCAGGTATATATGCAATAATAATCCACGTGGGGAAAAAGAATACTCTTTTTTATTAAACATTATGATTTTGTTTATCTTTTTGAATTACAGATCTCTTTAGCCTTTTGACGTCATACTTTTGAAACTAGAATCCAGTTTTTATTCTATGACGATTTTATCGGTCAGCAGATAATTTTAAGTACGAAAAATGGGTCGAATTCTTTTGTGAGGTCAAATTTTCAAAAGGAACACAGGTCATCTCAATATATAAAGTGTACTTGAAACTGACAACGTGGCTCATTGCTAGGTAAATAAAATAATTCAGTAGATACTTCAAAACACCAAAAATTAACATACTCTGTATTTTAAGCTGCACATATGTAAATAATCAAATTATACAAACTCAAATCTGAATTCGGCACGTTTTTTTTTTATTTACTTTAATGTCGATCTATTGATATTCATTTTTAGCTACATGAATTAAATTATGAAAATGTGATTTTTCTTTATTTCTTGCTTCTTGAAAACATCACAAACCTTAATAGTATTATATTGATTAAATTGCGTAATTACCATGCATTTTTTTTTTTCGATTTGTTTAATTTCGTATTCTTTATTGCCCTTAAGAACTTGAGATGAAAGTTATACTTTTTTTTAATGAATAAAAGAAATGATATGAACTTCTCATTAATTTTTTTAAAAAGTTTATTTTGTCAAGGAATTCATTGAAAGTGTTACTAAGAAAATCTTTTAAAATTATTGAAGTGTGAAAAAACATTTTCTTGAATTTACATTTAAGGGTATTAAGAGAAAGAGCAATGTATTTAAAATGCTGAATATAGATGCGCTGAAATTTTTCTTTTTAACTTGAATTTGATTTTAGTTATCAAGCATTGTAATAGCATCCTTTGAAGAAATATGCTATTTATAAATCCTTTCTTTTTAATTGGTATTTTTCATTATCACAGAACTGTTTATGTAATAATGTCTTGTTACATTTTCTTTAAGCTGTCTGTACGTTTTCTTATTCATAAGAAGAATATACCGTAAATCAAAGTCAATCACTTTTAATTTGATTTAGAAATCTTTTCCTACCCTTATTTTTATTGTCAGTGCCTTTATACAAATTCTTTTAGCTTACTTCTTTTAAAAACTACTCATTAACAGCATAGAATAAGAATGTTAACTTTTTAAAATATATATATATAGGTTTTTTTTTGATGGACAATAAATGAGGAATTTAGATTGGCAATGTTTTTTTTTTTCGTTTTTTTTTCAATCCTTGCACATGAATTAAAAACTTTCAAAACAATTTGAGATAGAGAGATAGAGAGAGAGAGGAGCGTAGTTACCTATGTTTGGGAGTTTCCATGATAATTACCAGGCCCATCATGAAGCAGGCGACGCTGATGGCGGGAATACATAGCAGCAGATACAGTCTCTTCTGGTACCTGCCGAACTCTCCCAGGTGATACAGAATGTCATCAAACTTCATGCTCCTTCCTCACTGTCCCCCCGAGGTTACTGTTTGTGGGGACCGCGCTATCAGCGGGCACCTCTTGACGATTACATGGTCAGATAATTTTTAAATAAACATTGGACTTTTTGTTTAAACACCGCTATCTTCAGTCGTGAATTCATCTTAGGTGCGCAAATAGGTGTCTGTATAACGAGAGATTATTATTCAAGTTTTAGAAAAATGGACTTATTAAGGTTGATTTTAATTCTTCCTAAGAAATTAAAAGATTGGTCACTGCAAGTGTTAAAATAAAAAATACATGTACGTTTGTCATTAATTACGCAATCCAAAAACAAAACAGAAAACTATTTCCTCTGTTTTAAGGAAATTGCCCTCTGGTATTAACAAAATCAAACAAAAGTAGAATATTATATGATATTTATTAAAAAGACGTAAAAATTTATAGCTTCTAGTATATAGATGATCTAGTGTCAAAACCAAACTGGTTTAAAACATTTAGAGGGAAGATGGACAATACATATTTACATAAAATGATAGGGACACTTTACGGGGTAAATTTCATCTCAAAGACAATATCTGATACAGCATTTATGACTTCATACATCTTAAAGATATATGTAAGAAAAATCTACGGGGTTAATTTCCAATCACAAATGTCAATGATACAGTTTATACACAGTAAATCAAAACTATGTTACAACACACTTTAAAAAATTACGCACTTTGAATTTGGAAACAAATCAATGCACTTTGAAAAACTAGAATTTCTTTTCAAAGTACGTTAATATTGACCATATTAACGTACTTTGAAAATAAAATGTGTATGGTCGATATTCTTGCAAATCTTATTTTTCCATACTTTGAAAATTCTTTATCTCTGAAATGTTTTGCTGTGCTGATTTTTTTTTTTCAAGTTTGCATGTGTTTTATGTAAACTAAAATTTATTGAAAGTTTTTTACACCATACCAGTTATGCAAATACATATATTTGGTTTTTAACATAGGTATCGGCACCGGGAAGGGGCTTAGGCACACACATTTTTGTAAAGATATACATAATATAGACATTGAGAACTGGGGCTTAACTTTTGCCTTTCCACTTTCAAAAGGCTACCGAAGGCTATGTATATGAAAGAAAGAGTTAGACTGACAGATTATCTACTCGTTTTCTCTTTGTTTTTAATGAAGTTAAATCAATACATGTAAATTAAAACGTTTTTCGAAACATATAATTATTACAAACTAATTCTGTCAATAACTAAAATCTTAGTCTAAAACTTTTGTTCTATAATATTTTTTTTTAAAAGTGCGTTAAATTTCTCCATGGTAAAAAATGTTGACGTACACTCTTAACGAACTTTGATTTTTTTTTTGCGTAATTTTTTCGAAGTGCGTTGCCACAAAGATAAAGCATCAACACTGATGATATTGAGACCCCCCCCCCCCGCATAAAAATATCTTTGATACACTATTTACAATTTGCAAAATCTTAAAAACCTAAAGCCGAGTTTAAATTTCCCCTCAAAATGACATTGATACAATTCATATACATGTACAGTTATCCAAAGCTAAGGCAAAAATCTTGATGATAGCAGAACTTTACAGGGTGAACCCCCACCCCACTCCACCCCCCAAGAAATTCACTAAATACAAGTATTAACGACTGGTAACATTATAAGATGGCACAAATCTACAGAGTAAATTTCCTCTACAAAATAAAATCCATTGATACAGTTGGTATACAGTAATTCAAAGCAAAAACAACCATCTTGATAACGGCAAAGACTTTATGGGGTAAACCCCCCCCCCCCAAGAAAATAAAAGAAACAATATTACAACTCTTCAAAGCAGAGTTAATTTTCTCTCAAAATGACAATGAAGCAAAAGCAACCATCCTTATAGCAAGTCTTTATATGGTAAATCACTATAAACTGTACATGATTTTCGAACACTTCAAAGATAGCAACAATCTATAGAGTCAATTTCCTCTCCAAAATGATACTGCCACGGCTCATAAAGTATTTCAAAGCAAAGACAATCATCTTAAATAGCATGATTTTACGGACTAAATTCTCCCCCAACATGTATAACTGATGTATAATTTTTTACTTTAAACATCTTAAAAATAGCCCAGGGTTATTTTCCTCTCAAAGAGACATGATACAGTTAATACACACTAATTCAAAGTTTAAGCAGCCACACTGACGATATCGAGACTTTACGGGGTAAAATTTTCCAATCCCCCCCCCGAAGAAATTAAATATTAAGCAGTATTCACCCCTCTCAGAAAAAAAAAAACAAACATTACTCTATGAAAATAACACAGAGTTAATTTCACTCAAAAAATTACAATGAAGCAAAAGCTAACATCTTACAAGGAAGACGTTACAGGTAAATTCATCTAAAAACAAACAAAATCTCTGATATATGCAGTATCAATGATTCGAGAAAACATTGAAAATAACGATTTACAAGGTAATTTCCTGTATAAATATAATATTTGCACTTCTACTGATTAAGAAACAGAAACACCATCTTTCAGACATCAAGACTTTACGGATATATAAATCAAATCACTGATTTAGATTCTATGCTCCAAAAATCTTCTCTCAAAACATTTGACTGATACAATTTATATAATATATAGAAAAATAACATTACGTTTTAAAATAACAGATATCTACGGTGTAAATACCCCCTACAGAGTGTCAATGACACAGAAAATATTATATTCAAAGTATAAACAAACACTTCAACTGAATGATAGACAGACAGTGCGGGGTAAAATTCTCCCCAAAAGAGTATCATTGGCACAGTTCACAGTAAGAAAACAAACATAATATATTGAAAACAGCAGATCATTACAGTAATAAAATCTCTTAAAATAAATTGATATAGTATACACTTTTTACAGGAAAATTCCATACATATTACAGTGTACTTCTTATTGACAAAGAGACTTTCGAGGGACAATTTCATCCCAATATACAATATATGTAATTAATATGTATTCCATAAAAAGACACCATTAGGGAAAGGAAACCAGGTTATATTGTCCCTCATTTTGTGGAGTCCGACGCAATTATTTCTGGAATGGTTTAAGTGACGACTGGATATAAAAGTGACGGTTTTCTGCTTATTCGGAAAATAACAAAACCAAGACCAAACCTTGAACGAAGAAGGTATTTTTACAATTACACAATTATGCATATGTTAAGATAAATCTAATTTAGGCAGTGCATGTATCTGCATGTGAATTTTATATTTCCTTACCTACAGTTCTATGAGGATTTCGGACCTTAGTCACACTTGTTGTTTTCTTTATTGTGTGAAATGCTCAAACTTTAATAACGATCTTTTTCATTTGCAGTAAAACTATCTGTACATGATATCAGTTACATGTACCTCTCTGAACCCCCCCCCCCCCCTTAAAAAAATTAGGGCGCTAGTAAATGTATTAATTGTATGTTCTGTCTGAACTTATCTGAATCCAAATTGTGCACAATTCAATAGTATATGATTTGGACTTATATCAGAAATGGACATCATTCTCAAATAAAAGTTATGTTTTTCTGAATGTATCTGTAGACAGTGGGTACGTGTTCTTTAGATGTATGAAATTTCCAAACAAAAAAAAAAAAAAAAAAAAAAATAAAAAATAAAAAAAAAAGAACTATTTTTCTATTTTACCAAAAATTGTGCAAACACATTCTGTTCGACAGTAGTGTACAACATGTAATCCGACATGGCTGAAATAAATGCCCATGGCATACCTTTATTTTATTATTTTATACCTGTCAGTGTATTGAATTATATGCATGGGCTTTTAATTTAAGAATTTGATAAAAAGAAATCAACGTTCCAAAATCATCATGAGGATCCTATACGCTTTCCACCCAGAATATTGACTTTACCTGTGCTTGGTTGACGTACTATGCGGTCATGGAGGTATCCTTGAGTAAGGGTGAGTTACCTTTAAATCATGCTATGTTACAACGCACTTTGAAAAATTACGCACTTTGAAAAAATTTTTCAAAGTGCGTTAAAATTTGGGACCAAGCTAACGCACTTTGAAAAATTTTTTTTTTTTTCAAAGTGCGTTAATATCGACCATATTAACGCACTTTGAAAAAATGTAAAGATTGATCAATATTCCTTCAAATAATTAGTATGATAAATAACAGATCCTGGTTTAATAACTTTTTATGATAACGTCACTGTAGGACCTGAGATATTGACGTTTTAAATATTTAAAGTTTTGATAAAATAAAAGGGAAAATTAAAGGGTCTTGAAAAAAAGAGTGACGATTGTTTAAGTTCACTAATTCGTTTCTTCTTTTTTTTTTAATTCTAGTCTTTGATAAGTAGATGTTAAAGGTCTATAGGGGGTACTAACAAAGGACAGCTTCAAGCAACTTATCATTTATCATAATAAAAAGGGGCCAATTTGATTGTTCAACACTATGAAAATTCTTTCTCTCTCATACGTTTTACTGTACTTAAAAAATTATAGTTTTCATCTGTTTTGATTAACTCATTTATTATTGAAAGTTTTCAAAGTCATACCAGTTAGGTAAATACATAATTATATGAATGCTTTGAGTATAGCATAGACATCGAGACTGGGCGAAGGGCCAGGGGAGGGGATGGGGGCTAATCCCCTCCTCTTATTTTGGAAAGATATATACATCGTATAAACATTGAAAATGCAGCATACCCTTTCTAGGTTTATTGCTCCCCTACCCCGTTTGTTACCGACACCTATGTATTGGAAAGATAAAGATTTGGACTTAGGGATCTTATACCCTTCTTCTCCTCTTTTTGACGGGAGTAAATCAATTCATTTTTGAGGTTAGGGCTAGGCTTAGTTTTTTGAAAGAAAAATAACAAATAAAATCTTTCTATGAATAAAATATGATTTTTTTTTTCAAAGTGCGTTAAGTGTCTCCATGGTAAAATATATTGATGTAGACTCTTAACGCACTTTGAAAAAAATTTTCAAAGTGCGTTGATTTGGTCCCAAATTTAACGCACTTTGAAAAAAATTTTCAAAGTGCGTTGATTTTGTCCCAAAAATTACGCACTTTGAAAAAATTTTTCAAAGTGCGTAATTTTTTCAAAGTGCGTTGCCACAATGCTATTTGAAGATGGGTGTCATTGTTCTGAAATACTTTATGAGCCGTGCTAGTATTATTTTTGGAGAGTAAATTGACTCTGTGCATTGTTGCTTTTTAGAAGTGTTTTAAAAACATGAATACTGTACATGTATTAGTGATTTTTTTATCCCGTAAAGTCTTGTCGTCATCAACATAGTTGTTTTCGATTTGAATTACTCTATACCAACTATATCAAAGTTAATTTTTGGTTTAATGATTCACGTACTTAATACAGCAATTTTGTTAGTATGATATTTTTTTACAAGAAAAAATATTTAGAAGAAAGATAACTTCTCCTCACAGATGTATTTTTTTCCTACAACCACATACAATAATGTGATTTTCTGACTTAGGAAGCATTGCTTCTAGGGATGTGAACGAGTACCCGGTTAACCGGGTACTCGATCGAACGTCCGAGTATCGAATACTAAAATCGGTACTCGGTTACTCGGATGTATATTTTTGAATATTTCGTAGATTATTTATTAATGCAATAAACAATCTGTTTTAAAACGTAAAATGCTCATTGTACTTGTACATACAGTAATTAGGGTTTCCCACACCTCTAAATAACAGTTATCGCCTTTGTCAGCGTTTATATAGTAATTATCGTGACCAAGCACCTGCTACCTGGCCTTCTCACCTTTGGCTGTCTTCTACCATTATTTTTGATTTGCTTTGTTTGTTTTCACTGAACATCGTTTAAGGTCTATTGTGTTTAAATAAATTAGACAATTTTGTCAATTTTCCGATAAGCCGTAAGTTCTCGGAAAAGAGACAGATATTACACGTGCGATTGTTGATATGGTTTTGTTTGATTACACGCCAATACAAATGGTTGAAGGCAAAGGATTTTTAAAACATGATGCCCATCGTTGCACTAACCTACAAAATACCATCCCGAAATACCGTATAATGTAGGAGTGAAAAAGTGTGCGAAAATCGTAAATCCGCTCTGTTGTGAGAACTCAAGGTCAAGTTCAAGTTGATACTGCACGTAGCTCTGACGACTGATACCTGGACGTCAAACGCAACCAAGAGTTACAATTTACGGAACGAGTTTTTTTTTTTAAACAAAAACAGTGTGAACCACTTATGATTTTATTTCTTGTGTTTATCTGATATTTAAAAAAAGTGCTTATCATTGTTACATCAGAAGTACATCTACGGGTAAACATCCTATCAAAGCATGTGGTTTTATTTCTACAAGAGTTTCCAATCTTTTACAGTCATCAATTTACTTATTCATATTTATTTACACTTTTTACCGAGTACCCGGGTACTTGATCGGAAAAACGTCCGAGTAACCGAGTACTAGAAATTGACCGATTTGACATCCCTAATTGCTTCATAATTTTTTCTGATTTTAATAGGTATGATAATAGGTATTATTTATGCACCTCATATTTTAAATTTAATGTTGTGATAATCAACCGTTACTCTGTGTTCAATTTCTTCATATCATGATCTGACATAAAAATTATTTCTAAAAAAAAAAAAAGAAGCAGCGTTTCATATTTCAATCTTTTTTCCATGTGTCTGTAATGTTATTATTCTTTATGAAAATCAATATTATTAATTTAAAATTCCATAAAGTGAAATTCATAGCAGAGGGTCGGGATCCCTTAAAACAAAATTATGATTGGATTCAATGTTCAGATTCCAGGGTCTGACTGCGCTAGTTAATTGTATATTTAAAAAAAATCATCTGATAAAATTCCCCTCTTTATCTATGGAACTTAGCAAGAGAACTTTAATCATTAAAAGAGTTCCGAGTAAATAAATTCTATGCAAATCTTAATCCTTGGACTTACTGGATCATGTATTAGAAATATAGATTTGAAAATGTTCTTATCTCCATTTAATTTAAACACAATATTTAATGACATGTACATTTTTTACCAGGGGAATAACATATATTCAATATCTTGTTCATATAAACATGCAAGGAGACAAAAAAATGATACCATAAAAGCTTAGGCCTCACTCATCTTTGGTATTTTTAAGGACTCCATATATTACCATGTAACCCCTCTGTCTTTTTGGTATTTTAAGGATTCCATATATTACCGTGTAACCCCTCTGTCTTTTTCGTATTTTAAGGACTCCATATATTACCATGTAACCCCTCTGTCTTTTTGGTATTTTAAGGATTCCATATATTACCTTGTAACCCCTCTGTCTTTTTGGTATTTTAAGGACTCCATATATTACCATGTAACCCCTCTGTCTTTTTGGTATTTTAAGGACTCCATATATTACCTTGTAACCCCTCTGTCTTTTTGGTATTTTAAGGATTCCATATATTACCATGTAACCCCTCTGTCTTTTTGGTATTTTAAGGATTCCATATATTACCATGTAACCCCTCTGTCTTTTTGGTATTTTTAAGGACTCCATATATTACCGTGTAACCCTTCTGTCTTTTTGGTATTCATCGAGAGGAAGCTTCCTTGTTGAAATCTTCCAGTTTTGAAGAGGTACGTCTTTTATTATCATTTTATTATTCACCCTACGCAAATACAAAACCTGATTTATGATCCTTTTATGACCAGGAAGTCTAAATAAAAGCAGTATTTTTAAGTATAGAATTTAAATTGATGCGTTTATTTTTAAACGGAATATCGATGAGGAGACCTAGGGACCTTTACATATAGCCTAGGACCTGTTTCGATTTATCAAGGAAAAATCATATTAAAAAAAAATTCGGTAGTTTTACTGGTAGGTGAATTATTTTAATTACATATATTAAAAAATGTACTTAAAGAGGATGTTACAGTTTAAATAATAACAAATTATTAAATTAACATTTGATAAACAAATTTATTTCAAAAAACATTATTCAAAGATGTTCACCTTTATCAATTTTTACGATTGATTTTTTTTCCGATCATTTTCAGATTTATGGTTACAAACAAAAAAATCCAACATATTAAAAGTGGATGAGCACTTCTATCAAATTAAACATCGACTTTTATTATTGATAAAAGAATATTAATTGCAATGAAACTGAACGCTACTGTAAGCTTCTCCGAAACAAAATCTACTGAATTTGTTACACCTATAGTGAAAAAAGAACTTAGCGATGGTTACGATTTGGAGGTCGTAGGACTTGCTTCGAATTGGTTTCTTTTCATCCATATACCTGCCTTATGCTGCATTTTCCTCAGTCTGATATCAGCAACAGCCGTTATCATCGTGTCTTTCAGAAGTCAGAGCCGGTCCTTCTTCTCCTGGACGAGAAGTGAGCGATTCGTCGTGTATTTGTCGTTGTGTGATGCCCTTTTCAATGTAACACACAGCATGGATCATCTACAGATGCTCATCACGAAGGAACACGTATATCCTCTAGCACTGTGTGAATTTTATGCGTTCTTTATCGGCGAATTTGTTTCGGCTCAAATTCTGATGACAAATGTAGCAGCTGTTAATGCTTTTAGTCTAATTTATCTGCAAAAACAATTCAAACTCGGCATGTATGACTGGAAACTTTTGATTTATACGTTCGGTGTACCTTTTGTGTTATCAATGTCTGCAGTTGACTTGGGATTTTACGGACCATCTGGATCTTAGTAAGGTTCTTTTGTATATTTCAGTTTATTTTATTATTTTTATTTGAAATTTGAATTAAAAACATAAGATACGTGTACATTAGGTTAAGTTCTCTTTAATCTATTCTATTTTTGTGTCCACAGTTGTTACTTTGACGGCGTAAAAGGAGCATTTGCCAGCATATTTTTTACAACCATTCCGATGACGATTGTACTAGTGGTAAACGTTATGTTGTACATCTCAACATGGTGGAAAATCTTCACCACATCTAGGCATCTAAAAACTATGCTTGGAAGAGAAACCCAAACTCTGGATGCATCTTTCAATGCTGCCAAAATGATGAGTCTTTTTGTGGCGGTCTTCTTCGTGCAGTGGTGGGCCCTTGCCATCGTCAATGTGTGGCAAAATTTTGCGGTGGTTCCTGAGGAATTTCTCACTGTAGTCGTAATTTTTACAAATCTAGGTGGCGTCTGTAATGCAGGTGTTTTTGTCATCATCAGGAAAAGAAGAAGCAAACATACGCCCCAAATTTAAAAAGTTCCAATCAAATGTCTCAATTATAATGTATAATGAGGAGATTTATTTTTCTTCGTTTCCAATCAAAGGAAAAAAGACCCCCATAATATTTTCTCATGGAAAAGAGCGATCTTCTAAAAATTACACGGAATCTCATTGTTTATGATCATCAGCAATATTAAAAATTATATATTTAAAAGAACATGGTATGGTATGTATAACAAGGCAAAATACAAACATTTTAAAAAATCAAATAGGGGTAGAGGGACGCCCGGCGCACCAGCCCTGGATCCGCCTTTGAATTGCATGGTTGTAATTTAAACCTGTCTTGAAAACACTGCTGTCAACATTCTGATCAGCATGATAAATGTATAACCTAAATCATACTCAAGAAAGCTGTATAATAATTTTCAAAAGAACGTAATTTTTTTTCGTGAACAGTAAAGTCAATATCACCTCCATTATGAAGGAGACGCTCCTTTTAATTAGAGGTACATGTATAAATGTTAATTAATCCTCTGAACCATGCCAACTTATGTCGTTATTACTGTTTTTCATCGGAATATATTAATTGAAAATTTTTCATAATATTTTTTTTATTATGATGGAAGACTGATGAATTTTGATGTTCCATATATATGATGGCTCATTATGACGTCATTAGTTTACATGTAATGTCCCTTGATAAAGAACTATATGCAATATATTGCATATATTTGCCCCAACAAAAGTCAAATTTTAAAAATTTCCTGAAATGTGCTGAATTCAATAAATTGTATGAGAAATATAAATTAACAGAAAATATTATAGTGTCAAAGCAGTGTATTCACAATTTTTGTTTTTATGACGTCACAAACTAGTCCGATTTTATATCCTTTTTCAGAAAGAGGACAAAATGAACAAAATTTCAACAATTTTAGCTTTAAAATTTATAGAGCGCAAGTTTGTTCGGGAACAATATTGACATATTTCATTGATATTATAATTCTACACATTACGTCAACATATTGATCCTGAACACACATGCTCTCGGTGACTTTTACTCAAAATATCGACGAAATGTGTACATTTTTTTCTGTAAAATTCATAAAAAACTGAAAGAGTATATATAGTTAGTGTCTCAATTGGCCCCTTATAATGAATATTTTAATTTTACTATTTTACTATTTTAGTGTTTTAGATTTTAATGTTTATTCAATAAATATCAAAGCATAAGTAAAAATATTTATTTGTTAATGTTGTTTTATTCACAAAACGCGCATTATATAATTCTTAAATGAAATAAAAGCGTGTCTGTAGTTGTTTGAACCAAAAACGTAACATGCTCGACCAAAATTGAAAGTAGGAATCGCAAATTATGTAGTCGTTAAACAAGGTAGAATTGCTTGAAATTTCATAAAATGGTCAAAAAAATCACGGTCGTTGGTCGCGTTAGACAGGTGGTCGTTTAATAAAGGTAGAATATATAGGAAAAAGCGTTGGGGGGAATTTTTACGGTCACATGTGACAGTGAGTCGCTTAATACAGTGGGTCGCTATGGCAGTTTTGACTGTATTTCTCATGTCATTTACAGCTAATGAGTGCATATAAATGTGAAAAATATATTGGAAATATTTCTAATATAATCTCTTCTACAAAATAAATTTCAATTAAACATATCTGAGTGTCATTCTAAACTGTTGATTTTTAGGGGGCCAAATTTGGCTCTTATCATATATACTCCTTTACGTCATGTTTGTGGCGTCATTACGTACATATGGCGTCATTATTTATGAAAATATTCAGTGCTTCGAAGTCAGCATATACTCCCCTGTTTAACAACTTAATTAGATATATCTCCATCAAAGTTAGATTTGGGGGGCAAATATTGGTTATTACCGAATAAAGTCCTTTTACGGAGAAAAGTTTATGTGGTTGTTATAACATTCAGATTTAAACAGTAAATTTCTGTAAAAGTATAGATTAGACAAAACACCTTTAGATTCAAACTTAAACAATTAATTTCTTTCAAAGTATCGATTTTATTAGGGAGGAAAAGTCATATCTATCCTAACGAAATATTTTCAACTGCAATTTTTCTTAAAAACGGACGTGGCCGCACTTTTGTACAGTCATTTTTTCTCTTGCATATTAGAAACCAAGGTATACTTGTTCTTTCTGCGAAGTTTCGCACATTTACTCGGATGCAGCCACATCGAAATTTAGACTTGAGAGGAGGAAAACGTCCAAAATAGGTGAATTCCAGAATATTATACCGGTTTTGAACGTTATATACACATAAGGTCACATGAGTTAAGGAAAATTGATACCAATTTTTCACAAAGGGGAACCTTAACAATAAATTGACACAGTTCAAAATATGTTATCGTGCGTTTAATTTTTGCCGATTTTACAGGGCCGCCTCGTTATACATACCGTACCCAGTTTTTTTCAAACAATTCACCAAAATTTCGGGGGAGGTGGGAAAATAAATGTTCCTAATTCAATAGTTTTTTTAAGGTCTTCAATCCCTAATAGGAAGAAATTCTATGAAATTGAAAACATAACAGATATGTTAGCATTGAATGTTCAGTTTATTTAGACATACTTCCCATTTATTACTATAAGTATGTTTAGTTGGATGTGTCCTAATTCATGACCTTGAAATTTGGTAAGAGTTATCTCCCCTTTTTTAATTGATAAAAAAAATCAATTAAAAAAAATTTAGCTGGTAAAAAAAATTGTTTTCAATTACCATTCCTTTTTGTAATATTTCAATGCATCTTTCCACCACAGGATTTATTGATATTCAAATCATTTGAATTTTTATTTTGAAAAAAAGCTTTTCCCCATAGACTTCAATGCAATCTTTGTTAATGAACTACTGCTTAATTAATGAACTTTTTGAAAATTTCTCGTGGGCAATCCTTTTCCACTATAAAATGCTTTAATATAATATCAGAGTATCGTTTAGTTGACGGACATTTAAGGGTAGAGAATTTGGTTCCATTAGAGATTGAAATCCTTAAGTTCCTATTTTATTCTCTTCTATATTTATAAACAATTTGTATTTATAACGTTAAGCAGAACATTCTCCTGCGCCACATATTTGATTCAAGACAAACGATTTTTGCTATTTACTTTTAAATGTAATCAATATTTAAAATTGTTCCACAATTAAACTGCTTCAATTGTTGACTAATGGACTATGAACATATTTTATATGCCATTTTTCAAAGGATATCGGTATTTTGCCGTGGTAACCATGACACAAGTTGACCTGACTCTTATCACGGGATGTGGTCAATGACACAGATTTCAGAAAAAATCTAGCTTTAGACATTCTTTTGAATCGGAGAAAAATATAAGATTATTTAACTACGCACAGGAATTGCTATGGATTGGAGAATGTGCAACATCCTGTAATTATCTTGGTTACAAAGTAATGTCATTTAATATTTGTGTATGTCGTAAATTGTGTATCTTTATATAATACTGTATTTCTCAACTATCACATGAATGAAGGAACTGACTGAAGGTTGTATTGACAAGAAAAAGATCACCACTGTCAGACGTTTGATATCTAGCTAATTTACCTTAAATCTAAACTTCGTATTTTAAAATTAAATTACAGCCAGAGAGCATTTGTTGTAATTGTCCTTATTTTAAAATGCGAGAAAAATGGACTTGTATAATTTAATTTATTTTAAAAGATTCAAATTCTGAAGTTAACCTTGCACAATCAAGTACTGAAATAGGTCAAATGCAGAGATCAAGTGGCCAAGGGGATTGTTACGCTAATAACTTATGAAATGAAAGCAAAAGGTTTCTTACCTACCTTTCTTGGTTCAAAGAGGTTTCAATCGATAAATGATCTTTAGCTAAGGTTTGTAAGGTTTAGCAAAGGTCACATTTAAAATCTCAGCAGAATGTTATTTAACTTGGTGTAGATTTATATGAGGAAAGTGTCTAATCCCTACCTAGTAATTGATATTAAGACAAACAGTATGTCAAAAGTCAATTGCAAGTTCAATGTCTTTAGCGCATGCACTTTGGTATTTTACAATTGTTATTTGCCATGCAATAATATATCAAAAACCTTATAATACACGGTCAAAAATTGATTCTGGTGTACGAACAGACATACATGTACTGTCATACAGGCAGGAAACGGTGGAAAAATGAATCGTATTTGCTACATCATCATAGCTAGGGGTATACGGCGCATATGAAATAAATTGCTTTATTAAACTCTATAATGAATCGTATTTGTTACATCATCATAGCTAAGGGTATACTGCACATATGAAATAGATTGCTTTATTCAACTCTATAGTGAATTGTATTTGCTACATCATCATAGCTAGGGGTATACGGCGCATATGAAATAGATTGCTTTATAAAACTCTATAATGAATCGTATTTGTTACATCATCATAGCCAAGGGTATACGGCTCGTATGAAATAGATTGCTTTATTAAACTCTAAAATGAATCGTATTTACTACATCATCATAGCTAAGGGTAAACGGCGCATATGAAGGATTGATCCCCGTTCCCACTGGAGGTTTCCATCAGATTGGTGGTGGTGTCCGTCCTGAGGTATAGGTCAGATCCCGGCTCCCCAGTATCCCAGTTGAAATACGTAACGGGGCTACCATCATCGTACAAGAAAGGGGCCGAGGAACTGGCTCTCTTTCCCTGGAAATACGTGCTGAAGATGCTCTTCTCTTCTGAAATGGTTGTTTCAAAGTCATTTGAAAAATATTCTTTAATAAATTTTTGGTTAAATACAATCTTAACTTCCCTCCAGCCTTCTTAAAAGTTATAACAGTGTTTTCATTTTGTCATGATTGTGTTAATACAGTTTTGAGAATACGTTGACTTTATTTGGTGTGCATGTAGGTTTTTTTTTCACTAATGTCAATTCTTAATCGTACAACTCTCAGTTAATCTTGGACTTTCAATAAGGCGTGGCATCCTCAACGTTACATAGTTAGCGTCTTAAATTTACTTTGACTGTTGAAGTAGACATGGGATAGAAATTTGAGCGAATGACAACGAGTGTAGCAAATATACAATAACAGTGTCTCGTAAGGCAAAGATGCAAGGCTTAACAATTAAAGGTTCCTTATGTTGTTTATTTCTTAAACAATGAGAATCTATTCGCCATTTGACAGCCGCTAATTATGTAGCGCTAAGAATGCCAGGCCTTACAGAAAGTCCAAGTTTAAAAATTGTACTAGACTAGGTACTTGTAAATGAATGTAAGTATATTAGAATACTCTTTCCCAGATTTTCTCTGCCAAATTAACTTATAGCAAAGTAACAGTTACCGAGTTTTGGTGAAAGATTCCTTCTTAACTGTAAAAAAAAATCATAAAGCTCGCAAGTGTTAAATTGATACTTACTCTTTAGAAGGGAAACTATAAAACTTCCCTTTATTGATGTACAATTCCTAAAGACCAACAGGACTGTATTATTATTAAGTTAAAAATAAATGATGAACTTGACTCAAAGTTTTTTTTATTATCTGGACTTCTGGTATAATGATATTGTCACTGTACTGTTACTTGTTCGTTTTATATCATATCCTTCTAAAATGAATGTATTCCTTGAAATGAGAGGAGAAAATTATTTTTTAAAGTCATTGGATAATGATTAAAGTCACAATTTTATGTTACTTGCAGATGTCTCTTGGTATTACCTTCAATTAAGATAAATTTATACACCAATTTAAAAAGTATTTTTTTAATTACATTCTTTTGGTCATCTTTAAAGGATTGTTTAGTTACCCAAACGGACCAACAAGAATTGCTCAACTCAAAACTTTTTGCTTACATTCCTAGACACAGTTTTTTCCTTTATTCTTCTACCCAGACAGTAAATGTTTTGAAATTTTCCGAAAAATAATTTTTCCACCTACTTACCGACCAAATAATTCTACCCCGAGTCGGGAGGGTAAGCTAACATTATTTCAGAGATGGCATTAGCATTTGTGGCTGTGATAATTTGATTTTATTTTTTACTATAAGGTAAATTTTTTATGAATATAAAAAATATCAACCATTAATCAGCTTATCAAAAGATAGCGTACTTATCTGTTTTACGACAAAGTCGTATATGGCAGGGCTGTTGATGCGTATCAGCTGTGCCCCGTGAGCCTTACACACAGCGTCAGCGCCCAGAACGTTAACTTCCGGTTCCACGTACGTCCTATAGCAGATATCATAAGTTGTGTCGTAGGTGAAGGTCGGGTAGTCGTCACAGTAAAAGGACTTCCGCCGGAGTAAGATGGCGGTGACGAGTGCAATCGATACCAACTGTGGAACACTCCATTCCGTGACTCCAGCTGTTTGTATAAGGAAGATAATATCATTAACTTGTGACCATTCTTTCAATAAAACATAATTTTCTATGTAACGTCTCTATTTAGATTAGACATCCGGCATTATCTATAGCATCAAGAAAAATGAGAAGGGTAGACCTTGATCTTTTTCTTTAATATGTCGATTTATAATTGAAAATGTTCAATGAAAGGCGTGCTTCCCAGCTCCTTTTCACATTTGTGTTGAAGCAGAAACAACTCATTTTGGGTGGTGTATTAAAATTTCTTGGTAAAAAGAATTGGAAGCTTCTATAACTCTTACTTTCCTCCTCGCCGCCCAGACCACACACACCCTCCCACACACACACACACACACTTGAAATCAAAAAGTTAGAAAAAAGATTTTGATTAACAATATTCAAAAAGAAAAAACCATTTTGTATTTTTCTCTCTCAGTTCCTTTTTTTCACCTTATCACACCCACCTTAGGGTTTACATCAACTTTACAGGAGAAATATTGGTTTTAGAATTTTTTTTCTTCTTCCAATTTTTTGATTGCAACTTCTCAAAATGACTCTAATCGCTCGATTATTACGCGAGTCTCTTTATGAACATGTGTACTTTAAAATATCATTAAATTTGAAGATGATAGTTTAAAAGTTTTTTTCCCTGCTCTTAAACTTGATTGTTTTTTTAATTTTGCAAAATTAGAACATCATCAAGTTTGTCGTTTACCGTAATTAGACGTGATCAGAGATAGTCCAGCAGCAGCTATTAGAGCTCTTGAAGCCTGGTTCTGCGCGTTCTTGACCGGAAGTGTCTGCAAGACCAGGAGTATCAAGAAAAGGAGATTCCAAATTCTCAAAGAAGACATTGGTCTTGTCAGTCTGAAAAATTTGAATATAGATTAGGATATAGAGTTATGATCGTAAATTTCTGCTTACATTTACAAAAAATACACATATGAATGTTTAAGTAAATGAAAAAAGTAAGCAAGTATATTCATAACGTAGAACTTCAAACTAAACTTTCATTTTATAATATTTTATTATTGTCTTGAA